CTATACATAGATACTGAGATATACACATTCTGTTGGTTTTGTTTCTCTGAAGAACCCTGACTAATACACTATCCAAGAGAGTTATTGTGAAGATTAAATAAGACAACACATTTAATCTTTAGAGTGCCTGAAATATAAAATATGAAATATGAAATAGCGCTAGATAAATAAATGGTTGTTGTCGTATACCAGGTGTCTAATCTTGCCCCTATTGCTTTGATCCCAGAGGCTATGTTTTTAGGCCAGATCTATTCCATATCTGAATCCGAAACTCAGTCATTCAGGTACTTCTTGGAAATCTCCCTTTCTTCATCCCTTCTCAGTCTCCAACATGTTGTTAGAAATAACAATGAGCTTCAGCTCTATAATGATTACCAGGCACTCAACACTATTATGGCACAATATTAGTATCTCATTTTCTGATAACCGACCTGTTTCAACACATGCATTGAGCCACCTTCTGAATTAAGTTGGACCTCCAAGTTGCTTATGAATTGATCCATATCTGGAAAAGAGACAAGAGAAAGACAAGTTTAAAATAAGATCTAACTCACTACATGCATATGGTATCCATTTACCCTTGGTTATACCAGTTTGTCTATCATAAACATTATTTTTCAGGACTTATTAGATATTGAGAAGTCAGTATTTGGACAACATTCTAATTTATATATTCTATTCATCAGATGGCCCTGACTTGTCCCTAATAATAATTAGCTGTCTGTTCCCCTCAAATTCTATATGCATGTGAATCTGTTTTTTCCAATTTTTCTAACCTACCCTACATCCATAGTAATATCAGTATAGCTACATAGTTTTCAAAATGCTCCCCTTCTTGGCATAGTTCTCATTCTAAGGAGTTCCATGCTCCTGTATGGATATTTACTCTAACGAATTTGTTTACACATCAGTGTTAATTCTCTCTAAAGAAGTATTTTATCTCTACCTCTCTTAAACAGGCAGAATTAATATGAGCAGTCTTCTATTTCCTTGTTAGACAGATTTTCCTCCTATAAAAAGAGACTTGGTGGCCTCATTCAGCTGCCCTGCACCATCACAATCAATCCTACCAGAAGCACATACCAGCACCTCTTCAACCAGATTTCCTTTTGTCTATCTACACTCTAATCTCACTAGAGAGGAAAACACAGGGCAAGGAAGATGAATCCACAGCTTGCTTATTACTTAACTGGTCAGATTTTAGATCACCTAGGTATCTTCAAGTCAATTACAATTAGTTTTCTCATTTATGACCTGATTGCATTTCAAAAGATAGTCCATAAATCAGTTTATTGCTTTGGATGTCAAATACATTTACCCATAGAAATATTCATTTTACAGGTCACTTCACGATAGCCATTTAAGATCTAATACAGTTAAAATACAACAAATGCACAACTAACAAGAATATAAAATTGTACTACAGCCACCCAAAAAGCAAAAGGTAAACCTTAAAAATATATATATTTTGTTTGTTGAAAGTCAGGAATTGAGGAAGCCAGTCCTACTTAAATGGCAATAACACACACAGAATCTTCTGTTGAGATTATGAGAAAACTTCTGGGCCACTATCAAATAGTTTGGAGAATGCTGACACTTTAAAATATCTCCAATTTTATCTCAAAATGCATAGATTTTCTTTTCTTTAATCCAAGTATAAGAGTGGAACTGCTCACACATACATCCATCATTCACCAAATATTTATTGCATGATTACTATGTGTCAGAGGTTATACTAAGCATATTGTTATCAGTTTTAGATCTGGGGCAACCAGACATAGAGAGTCAGCAAATGTAGCAAAGAGCACTGACCTGGGAGTTAGATGCCTAAGAATCACATTCCATAATCTTTGTCAAGGCCTTTTTCTTTCTAAGCCTCAACCTCTCCATTTAGAATTAAAAGATTTCAAACTGTTCCCTGAAAAGGTCTAAGGCTTTTATGAAGCCTCTGGGGTGGGTGGGGTTAATGAAGGAAGTATGGTAAGGAATAAGCACAGAAGCCAGATGCAGAAAACTCTGATTTCCATTAGACTGTAGGCTCTTTGCAGGCAGAGATTTTCGTCTTTGATGTTTTCTTCCAGTGATGTATTTCAAGGGCTTAGAACAGTGCCTAGTACATGGTAGGTGTTCAATACATTTCTGAAGGTTTTTGATGACAGTGACAGAAAAGAAGAATGAGGAAGTGTGTTTTCACAAGTACAAGAATTGGACACGAATGAAAAATAATTTAAAAAAACAGAAAGGTTATGTATATATAAGAGATGTTTGAGGTATAATTAACTATGAAGTATGAGGTGCCAGAAAGGGAAGTTTTTTTCTGGCTTCAAGGAGGAATGAAAAAAGAGATGAGAGACAAAGATGAACAGACCTTGAGATAATCGTACTAAGTGAAATAAGTCAGACAGAAAAAGTTGAGAACCATATGATTTCACTCATATGTGGGATATAAAACTGAAAGCAACAAACAAACAAGACAAACAAAACTCAGATAGATAACAGTTTAGTGGTTACCAGAGGGAAAAGGGGGAAGGAGAGGTAGAGTATGGTAAAGGAGGTCAAATGTATAGTGATAGGAGATTTGACTTTGGAGGGTAAACACACAATGCAATATACAGAAAATGTACCATAGAATTATACACTTGAAATCTATATAATTTTATTAACCAATGTCACCCCAATAAATTTGATAATAAAAAAAGGAATGTTAGGTCAGATAACTCTCATGCAGTGCAGAGGGGCATCATGAAACCAGGAGAATTTGCCTGATTGCTGTCAGAAAAATCTGTAGGAGTATGGAGAGAATTCTGTTCTTCTCTATTCACATATTCTTCAATTACACCTTATTATTTCTAGCTGGAACAATTTACAAGAGCTATCTCCTATCTGGTTTTCTTCAATTACTATGGATTATGAGACAGCAGGGTGGAGGAAGAAGAGTGACTTTGATAAGCGATTTAACACCTAAGAACCTCAGTTTCTTCATCTACCAAGGGGAAGAGGGATGGTATGAATTTAATAGGGTTAATGTAAAGATTCCATGAATTAGTACAGGTAAATGCACTTAAAACAGTTCTTGGCATATGAAAAGTTCTCAATGTAATTAGTTATTATTATCATCACCACTATAATAATTGTTGATTGACAGAATCTTGAGCTCTGGCCCAGAAGGATATCTCCTAGTCATTAAACAGGTCCTTTATAAACTCAATGTGCTCACAAACCTTCTCCATCTTTTATACTTACAATCACAATTTTTAGCACCGCCATAAGCCCAGTCTTAGTCTAAAAACCCAAGGCTCACCTTTGACTCCTCTCCCTCCATCCCTAGCCAATTTGGTTATCAGCTGCTATAACTCTACTGCCGAAATATCTCTTAAACCTAGCTGTTCATCACCTCCTAGTTACTTTCCTTTCTAGTCCATACTCCATGTTTCTATTCAAATGTGGTAAAAATGTGTGGGATCTGGAGTGAATGCCTAGGGTCAAATCCTGGCTCTGCAACTTCTTAACAATAAGATTTGGGGCAAGTTTTCCCACCTCCCTGTGTTTGTTTCCCCATCTGTAAAATGGGAATAATAATAGTATCACCTCACAGGGTTGTTGTGAACATTTGCCAAGTTAATACGGGTTCAAGTGCTTACAACAGTATCTTGCAAAGAGTCATTGTTTCCCTCACAATTAGGTGAGCCCCTCAATAGTTACCTAGACTTGTTTCTCTGTATCTCTATATATTATCAGAGTATCTCCTCTATACAATGTGTTAATGTCCAATGAATGATCATGAGAATAAGAAAGGTTATTTAATAAAAATAGTATAATATTAAATATTAATATTTTTTAAATAGAAATAATCAAGGAGTCTAAAAAATACTTCTTGTACCATCTGTATCACAAATATTTTAGTCGAATGGCATAAGGGGGATAGCTGATAATTAGGAATGTCTCAGCCAGTTTTGGTTAGTACCCTCTCACCCAAAGGACAGTTGATTGGAACAGCCATTAGATTCCTAGACAACACTCTAAATGTTAGTAGGAGTAAACATAGAGGAAGCTATCAGGAAAGTATATAACCTTGTCTTTAGAAAATGTTTATTTAATATTTAGCCAGCTAAAATTTAAAACTGAAGGAATTTAGGACCTACAGAATGGTCTTAAAGAAAGCTCAGTTTTTTTTTTTTAAAGGGATTTTATAAGCCTTTTGCTTTTCTCTAGAGTTGGAGTTGCTGCTCTAAATGTCTGGGACCAGACAGCTGCATACATAGAATCTGTGAGAGAAGTGGTAAGAAAATACCCAAGGGGGTTAGGGTATGTCTTGGATTACTGTGATGTAAATCACACAAGCAGGAGGGATATTCCAGGGACCATGACCATATAAATTTGATAAGATTATAATGTTACCCAGTTTATTTTGTTACACAAGTGGCATATTCCATAGTGGTCTGCTTGTTTTATGAAAGTGAACACTACCTCTAAGGGACAAGAGCAGGTGGCTTGCTAATAAGAATGCATCTCACCCTTTGGCCAGCTCTGAGATGGAAAAGATGTCTAGAGATGAAGCAAGAATTTAAACTTTTAAGGAAGCAAGCAAAGCAGAATTATTAGGGCCCACGACTTCAAAAGAAAGTCAAGTATTGGGAACCCTGACACAGACCTAAGAAGGTATCTAGTGTCTTAACAAGACAGAGCATTTAGACAACACCAATAATAATCTCTTGTGTGTATCTATACGGCTTTACAGTAGGGGAATAGACAGCTTTCATATTCCATTCCCATTTTACAGATAATTAATTTGGAGGCTCAAGGTCACATAGTGTAGAAGTGATGGAATCAGAACTGGAACTCTTATCCTCTGACTCAGATTACAGTGTTTCTCACTACTTTCTAATATCCCAAATCTGGTGAGCGCCTTCTTTCTAAAAAACAAAACAAAACAAAACAAAACAAAACAAACTCTCTACTAAAAGAAAAACAAGTTTAAGGACAACAAACTATAATCATTTGAAAGCTCTTGAGCAGATATCATTCACTTTTAGCCACTGAGCTATAAGAAATGCTGGAACTGTTGAAAAATGAACATCAATGTTTTAGTTTTGAGATTATATGTACTTTTAAAAAAGTATTCCCTATTTTTTTAATATTAGAAAAAGATAAAGAACAACTAGAGTACACATATATTTTTAGATAGTTTAATTGTATTATCTTCCAAGGGAATAGAGAGTAGTTTGGGGATGGGCCTCTGGAAAAACCTTCAAGATTGAGGCTACTCTGCAGCATGACATTAACAGTAGAATGGTGATAAAAGAACAATAATTACCAACACTCACTGAGTATTTACCATGTGCCAGATACCATTCTGTTAAAAGAACAAATACTCATTAAAAGAACATATACTCATAATTCTAAGAGTGGGCACATTATTTCCCCATTTTTAAAATGAGGAAACTGAGCACAGAGAGATGAAGTAGTTTATCCCCAAATCACCAAGCTACTAAATGGCAGAATGAG